GTGGTGTGATTTTCCAGTATTTTGACTGATAATAGAATATTTGCTATACATAACAAAAAATATAACAAGCTAAATATTTACGTTACACACAAAGATTATGGCAAAACGTTTGAAAAATGATGTAACCCCCGCAAAACACCCAGAGACAACAATAACAATAACCCAACTTTGAATACATGACCATTAACACCACTACCACCACCACCATCACAACCAACATCATTACCACCACCACCAACACAACCACCACCACCACCGCCAGCCATCATCATCCGGAGCAGCAGCTATATCACAGACATTATATTCATTAACAATTACCATCGCTATCGTTATTTTAATGATCAACATGATTGTCATCATGATCAGCTTTATAAGCATCATCATCATCATCTTCATTATCATCATCATCATCCTCATCATCATCATCATCATCATCCTCATCATCCTCATCATCATCATCCTCATCATCATCATCATCATCATCATTACCTTCGTCATCATCAACATCATCATCATTACCATCACCTTCATCATCATCAGCATCATCATCATCATCAACGTTATCATCATCATCATCTTCATCATCATTATCATCATCAACACCTTCATCATCATCAACATCATCGTCATCATCATCATCATCATCATCATCATCATCATCAACATCATCACCTTCATCATCATCATCATCAGCATCATCATTTGTCATTATTATCGTTTTCGTCACCACCTACGTTCTTTACCATCAAAACCACCGTTGATCAAGAAACTTCTCCACCCGGGGGGGGGGGGGGGGAGGCTGCGGTGATTACATAAGTATTCCGAGGTTATTGTCTCACTAACAAGGGGTCAATGCAATGACACGACTACTCTTTAACATGATCCCAGCCTAAGAGACACCAAATGTGACAGCTTCATAAAGACACCATTCATATGGTTTAATGGTGACATACGATTCAAAAGAGATTTAAAGGAACGGACGAAGAGAAGGGGTTTCAAGCAGGAGACTCGGTAAACTCGTTGAAAAGAGAGAAAAGGATTATTCGATCGGCGAATGAAACCCGCTGACATGGGCGACAGTTTGTATCGACCGAAAAATGAATGTTTATTTAAAATTCTTTTTGGCGTATTGTTGGATGTTTCTTCCTTTGACAAAGGGGTTATTCTGGTGTGGATTACGACCCGGCTTCGTCGATAATAAGACCTGGAATGTGAATCATTTAACCTCTGCCCTGACCCATCACTTCCTTCAGCTCACAACCAATGGGCTAATATGGCACATGATAATGTTCAACGGCGCCAGCCCAGGCACAATTAGAGGCTGAGAGATGAATGGGGGGGGGGGGGGGTGATGATGATTAAAAGAAGAGTGAAGCAGAATTTTTTGTTCATGGGGACAAAGAGAAAAAAAAGATGGAAGAATTGAGATTGAGATTGCCAAAGAAAGAGGCAGAGTATAATAAAAGCATAGTAAAAGCAAAGGCAGAGAAGAAAAGAATGAAAAATAACGAGAGAAAAAAAAAAGCAATCAAACAAAGAAACAAATCCCAAATTTTTATTAACCAGTTTTATAATTTTCCCGCGGAGTACCTGCCTAATTTCCCAGTTTCCCCGAATGGATAAAGGGTGGGGAAAGCGTTTTTTACCCTTAAAATACCCTCTCTTTTTTTCCAAAACAGGAGAGAGGGGGCGACGTCTCGGCCCCCAGCAATTAGTAATAAACCATTGTTATTATTGCTACCTCGTTAGACATAAAGTGAAAACAATATCGATTCGACGAGGGTAATTACGATCATTAAAGTACATCAAGAATTACACGGTCGTCTGCGAGCCTCTTCGCTCCTTTTAATTCGGTAACTCAATTGTTAAGATGATTCATAATAAAGGATATGTTTATTTTCACAATTCATGTTGAAGATTTATCGGTTCGATTCTACGTATACGGCACTGTCAGTCATAACTTTGCAAATGCATATTTCGCGTGGTTAAAAAACAAATAAAAGTAAAACCAATAGAGCTGATACTAAAAAAAAAAAAGGGATTGTTTTAATGCTCCGGTAACAAATTGCTACGCGGTCAATACCTATGTCTCCCAGTAACATTGGACCCAGCACTATACCCAACCCTGAACCTAAACATCACCTAACATATAGCTTCTAATTATTGCAAATAAAACCAGGAACACCAGACGCTAGCTGGAGCACCGCAGAAAGGGAGGGGGTAACCTTTCTCGAGGTGGATAGAACGACGCACATGTAAAACGTAGAATATGTAAGCATTATTCATTCTTAATACCTATAACAAGATGGAATCCCCTGATAATAGCCTTTCTTTTTTAATTCATCAACATGGTGGTCTTTATACTCCGTGTTAGTACTCTAATAAAAATCACCATTCATAATGTAGCCAGACAGCTCGGAGTGAATAAAAAACGCATTATGATTACTTTCAATTAGCTAGGTAAATAGCGCTTTACCAATCAATACCAAACCGTGTAATGGATTGTAATTGAAACGAACGATTGTGATGTAACGTAATATGTGTGAATGATCTTCGTAGGTTTGTAACTGAGCGATCGTTGAACTGTGGACGAAGATATCATGACCCTGGATGACTTTTTGGGGGCTTAGGTAGGGGTTTATCTCACATTTTATTGCACCCTAGAGACCAAAATCAATCAATTTTGATCTCCATCATTTTAGAATGGAATACCGATTAATTATAGAACTGTTACGCAGTTATTGTAGGGTATCTAAATTGCAATGTGTCCTAATGTAATATTGTGGTTTAATCGGTTTTCGTAGAATAACTGGGTATTCATTTTTTTCTCTTATCCTCAAGCGAGTATTTTATTTCCATAATTCCACTGGGTATTAATGTAAAATAAAAAATATCAACATTTAAAAATATATACGTTTTAATGAGCATGCTGGTACTTATCAACACTAAATGCAAACCCTTGATATTTCGAAAACCCAGTTAGGAGTCTAAACTTATTTTCAATATAAATTTGGTGAAGGTAATCAACCTATTACCTCCTTTGCAGTTTTTAACTGCTTTCACTATATTTTTACTTATTTATTTATTTACCATATATTTAGTGAGCACTATTTTTTTTTTTTTTTTTTTTTTTTTTGGGGGGGGGGCTCGAAAATTACAAAAAGCGCACCCCCCCCCCCTTGAGCGCCAGGGGAGGGGGCCCTTCTCCAAAAAAAGGGTAAAATTAATGTGTTTTAACTGTATTTATACCCAGGGGAGGAGGCCCCCCCCCCCCCCCCCCCCCTGGATCCGCCACTGCCAAAGGGTAAATATGGGTACACAAATAAGTCCAAGGATGTAAGCACCGAGCAAGGATCGACCCCGGGGTCTCTCGTACAAAAAACAAGAGCCTTCACCGCCTTCACCGGTATACCAGAGTGTTTTATTGGAGAATTCAGAAAATCGTTATAGGCAAATATCGCGTCATATCCCCTCTCCCCCTAATCGACGATCCGTAATCAATCCTGAATCTTTTGGAGATTACTACTACTAACGTATACAATGCTCCCACTAACACTAACGTATTGCTACTACTTCTGCCACCATTGCTACTGTTGTTCCTACCACTAATACCATACTACTAGTACTAATACATTCTACTGCTACTATCTAAGAAGGAAAGAGTGAATTTTTCGCTCCCCCGGGAGTCACGTCAGTGATCACTTGTTTTGGAGTAAATGTCGATTGATTTTAGAGTACTCTCTAATAAGAAAAGAGTGAGTGTTTAATCTATTTTCACTACATGTTTACTCTCCAGAGGAGTCACGTTAGTGATCACTCGACTTTTTTTTACAGAGTACTACTACAACAACTTCTACCACCGCCACCACCACCACTACTACTGCTACTGTTGATGTTACTACTACTACACACAGCCGCGGATCCAGGATTTCTCAAGGGAGGGGCCCAATTTTTTTTTTTTTTTGCTCCCGAAAATGTGAAAATTGCGCCGGCCGAAAAGTCGCTCAGTGGGGGGGGGGGGGGGGGGGGGGGGAGGGGGGGGGGGGAGGGGGGGGGGGGGAGGGGGGGGGGGTAGTGATCACTATTTTGAAAATTTGCCCCCCCCCCCCTTGTGCTAAAAAATCACGTGTTTTTACACGTTTTTTTTTCCGAGGGGGGGGGGGCGGGCTTTTACTACTCCCACCACTTCTAGTAATACATTTACTACTACTACTACTCTTCTTCTATTTCTTCTGCGACTGCTGCTGCTGCTATACAGGTATACCGCTACAACAGCTACACTGCTTCTGTTCCTTCTTAAATATTTCAAATAATGAAACATTCATACAATCAGGAACGTGCTTGATTGATTGAATCTGTGTTCTTGAAACAGAGAACCGGGTAGCTCTGCATGCAGTAAAAACATAAAACTGCTTTGCGAAAGAGCCCTATATAAACGTAAGGTTTTAGTGATAGTAAGGGCGAGGGTTAGGGTTTGTACGAAACAGTCGAATCTGAATGCAACACTGGTAATATCAAATTGTAAACTGAATGCCAAATGGTGTTTCATTTTTAATACTATGCATTCCCGAATAATGTTGAATTTTCTAATGTTTTGGCAACCGTCACCTTAGATCCAGGCGGCAAGGTGGTCTAATTGCATTTTTCAATATCTTATATCTTATATCTCTTGCTGAAAAAGTGACGTTCCTCATTGGCTCGCTTGGGAACAAAATGTGAAAGCTTCAGGCACCATACCTGTACATCATTGTTGAATGTATAGATCGAGTACTTTGTATAATCGAATATAAAGAGACATTTATGTAAACGAGTTCAAAGTTCATATCAATGTCATTAAAAGCAGCATTAGTTTTACATTCATGAAGTGTAATGACAGAAGAGACAGTAGATAATGTCCATTATATTTCAAGAAGAATATCAACGATTTGTTCCTTTTAACAGAAATCCTGCAAAGGAACAACAGACAGTCAGCCAACATGTTGATCAATGATGACGTAACAATGACAGAAGAAGAAGCATTCTCCTATCTGCGCGAGAACCTGCTTATGACGTCAGCGGCGGAGAAGCTTTGCGTGGACCGGGAACCTTTCCTGAACGATATCATAGCCGCGATGCAACACCATCTTCCCTTCCACACTATCAAGAGTCCAGTCACCCCACATGAAGAGAGGCACCTACCAACCTTGCAGGAAATCAAAGAAGACATGTTTGCAGGAACGGGTGGTCTTTGCTACGCCCTCAACGTCTTCTGCAGGATGTTGCTTAGGGCGTTGGGTTTTGACGTAGTCTTCGTGCCCAGTGACTGTCGAGGGTACAAGGATGTTCACATGTTGCTGATCGTGCGTCACCTGACAGCTGTAGGAAGCAATCACATGGTAGACGTCGGGTCGAGATGTCCGTCATTTCGCGCCATTTCGTTCGACTTCACGGGGCAGACTTCGCCGGCGTATCATGATTCCTTCTTGCGCTACCGGTTCGTCCGTGAAGGAGACGCTGTTGTCCGACAGCACACCATTATCAGCGACTCAGATAGGGCAGAGGTGTTTGACGCGACATCCGGGGAAAGGTTCTCTTACATAACCATCCATTACAAGAAATAAGTTAGCATGGACTACTTTAACGGCACCACGACGGCATTCTGTACAGTCGTAAACCCTGACGTCCCCTTCCTGACCAGCCTGCGTTGTTTGGCCTTTCCCGATGACCACTTCGTCACCATCAAAGACACCACCCTACAAAAGGAAAGTGAAGAGGGACGTGTGCAAAAGTCTTATTTTCGATCACGTGATGAGATTCTGTCGGCATTCCAGTAATACTTTCCTCAATTTCCAGAGAGTATGATAATTGCTGCAATGAGCGATGAGAACGTCCTTTTTGATTTTAATAAGTGATTTTCATATGAAATAACCTGGATGAAGCACTCGTCGGGTTAAAAAAGTAAAAACCAAAAGAAGAAAAAAGTTTAGAAAGACAGCATGAGATATATAGATATAGGGGGAGAGAGAAAGAAAGAGAGAGGGGAGGAGGGGGGGGGGGGTTGAGAAGGGTGTTGTAGGTTGAGGGGATTTTGAAGGAAGATTAATTCTGAATGCCGAAACATCAAAATGTTGTATTGAACAATAACGGTCCACCCAATCCCCCCACCCCCCCCCCGAAGAAAAAAAATAGAGACATACATAATATGTATTTGTAACATTTATATGCAAACATTGAATGATTTGCTGGCCCATTCACTATACGTAGAGTAACTCCTAAACATTTGATATAAATTGACAGATGTACGCAAACATCCCATTAGTCAATAGAAACTAAATGAAATTGTCATATCCCAGTTTAACCTGTTTTAAAGGGATCGTTTAACAATGTAAAATCTGAGATACACGGCCCTACGTGTTATCAGTGTCTGTGGTATGGTGTAATATTGAAGCCCTAAAAAAATCGCGCTTCAAAATGATCAAGAAGTGCCTCAACAAAGTAAAAATCTTTGAGTGACAGGTTTTACCATACTCGTTTTCCCAATAGACTGTAGTGTTATGAAAACCGTCCGGCGAACGGTTTTCAAAATTTGTAATTCCAATCATAAATATCTTGATAATCAGACAGGCGATCGGCTTGTAAAAGTCATGGATTTCCTGACTGACCTAAAGGTTTATAATTATGATTGCAGCATGAGCTAAATCCAGAATTTTGTTTCAGAATCTGAGACAAAGTTACAGTATCCCTTTAAATACAGAACAGCATGTAACTATCATTCTGATGTATTACTCTGACTTTCTAAAAATTGACCTTTTCACACAAAAATGGAGTGTTATGAATAAAGGTGTCATTAGAACTAACATACTTATTTCTGTACACTTATTTTCGATATTTTAATGAAAGGAAGATGTTTTATTACTACTATAGTGGCCAATGATATACTGAACGTCTCGATATTTTACATGAAAATAAAAACCTACTACGTATATAATAGTTTAGAAGCCTATTTATTCGCCCTAGTAATTTCATGTGATATAATTCATTTTGGGGCCTACAGCTTTACAAGCTTGCTTTCATGTAGATCCCGTCACATTTCTCTCAGTTGAATCAGTGCTCTACATTGACCACTTATCTTTATGTTATTTATCATGTATTACTGATTGTTATTTTATCACAAACAAAACAACTTGTACTTTATTTTGAAATGTATATGTAACATGAGAAATTTGAAAATAAAATAAATGAAATGAAATGAAATTTGCCATGGTCGGTTTTTTGTCTTCGTTTTCTTTTCAAATCTTTGACTTTCTAAGCACTGTCCAGTGTATTCAGGCAGTAGCCTAAGCTTGAACGTTTTGTGTAACGTGCTTACTTTTTTTAATTCATTGAATAAATTATGTAACAATGATGATTAAAAAAGAATGTATCTAGTCCCTCAAATGTCCGATATTATCATGATTTTTTCTTCTATTGTATAGACTTCAAAAACTGTATTTGCAGTCAACATCTGTTTCTAATGAATTCAAATTCATAATTACGTGTGGTGTTAAAGACAACATATTGCTTCGTTTATTATTTTATATAAGAAAATGTGTCAACCGGTATTATACCGGTTGACACATTTTCTTATATAAAATAATAAATTTGAAAATACCACCCCAAAAACCTAAAAGGAATCTTTGTATTTTTATATCAACTTGGTATTATTAATACCAAGTTGATATAAAAATACAAAGATTCCTTTTAGGTTTTTGGGGTGGTATTTTCAAATTTTCTTGTGTTTTGTTTGTTTGCTTGTTGTCATTTAAAAAAAAACTTTGTAGCCTTTCAGGCAAATGCCTGCATGTGTTATGAAAATAAGAAACTTTCTACTAACACGAAAGTTTGTTCCGAATTCAGATTGTTACTGTAACGTCTTTGCGATCCCATTGATTTGATAATATCTTACTAGTTATTATGATCATCAACATCATTTAACATAAAGAATATTGTAAATGCTGACTTAAAATCAATAACTCGACACCATCCTCTAATGACTTGCATTAAAGAAGAATAGATTATGATTAATCTTTCTCGGTGTTTGGGTATTTGATTTAATGCACCATATCCTACCAAATCTCCTCTCTGCATTTTCTTCTCAAAATGGTATACAAGAGAAGGTGCCTTCCCCCCCCCCCCCTCACTGCTCTACCCTCTCTGCTCCGATGTCATTTCTTCTCTATCTCTTACAAGAGAGAAGCGTACCCCTCTCTTTCTTATGCATTAGCTATAATGTCAGGTCCTTTCACCCGCCCCCTCCCCACCTCCCCCTCTCTCTCTCTCTCTCTTTCCGTGTGAGTCCCCCTTCCAAATTGCGATAACAGACGATCTCCTTCCCCAATGCTCTCTGGCGGGTTTAGGGGTGGGGGCAGAACTGACCCATGCCCCCACACTTTTGAAACCAGAGTTGGTATGGGGTTTTTCGCTTGCAAGATTTTTCCCCGAAAAAGTGTGCACCCCTTTTACAAGATCTTCCTAGATCAGCCCCCCCCCCACTTTTTCTTCCTTCTCCCCTCTGTCATCACTCTCTCCCTGAGGTAGGCTTCTCTTTAATCCGATAAAAAGAGGAGTTCCTATTGCCCCCCCCCTCCCTCCATTTTCTTTCTCGTCTCCTTCCGATCCCCCCTCTCTCTCTCTCTTTCCTCCTCCTCCTCCCCCTCCTCCTCCTCCTCCTCCTCCTCCTCCCTCCCTCTCCCTTCCTCTTCCCCTCCTCTCTCCCCTCCCCGTCCATTGCTTCTCAATCTGCGATAAAAGAGGAGCTCTTTCGAAGTTTATCTATCGAGAGTAATTCAATTCAAGCGGCTTCTTTATGTAACTCTTTATCTCCCGTAATGAAGTCATCAAAGCTCCTATTGCGGTGCATTACGCACTACCTACCGGCAGGTGTTCCACCATATCGCATTGATCGACGGCGCGGAGACTTGAGGTGGGCCGGCCTTGGAGCGGACCGCTCCAGTCGAACTCGATCCGATGCCGCATTTTCCCCCTGCTATTTATGGCGTTTTCTTATATCAATATTCATTTAAGTAATATGAAGATTATTGAAGAAAAATAAAACAGGATCAAACAGGAAATTACTTGGGGTAGTTTAATGTATCTGTTTTGTTTATATACAAGAGCATTATTGTGTCTAATGTTTTAAACCAATATTATTCAACAAGAAAAATTAGTTTGGTAAAATAATCACTAACCACTAAAATTGCAGTTGCCATTCCAGGTACAGTACGTAGTAAAGCTTGGTAGTCTATAATAAGACAAATATCAAAAATCACCGTAGAAAGATTGGGTAATTTCAATTTTTGTTTTGCCTTTGAAAAATATTGTTATGGCCAAGAGCGCAATAAGATGAAATGAAATATAGAAAACTATCACGATTACTCATGCAAAATAAGTTTTAGAATAAAAGTTCGATAGACGGACGCAATATAATTCAATCGCATATACTGAGAGTCTGGTTTCGACATTAAACCTATGAAATTCAGAAATCTGTTTTTGAAGAGCAAATAATTTATTACATTTTTAAATCTCTTTAATGAAATGGTCATTAATTGTCTTCCATAACTTCTGTTCAAGTTCCATGTTGTAGAAATCAGTCGATAATTTGTAATCTTCTGCAATAATAAATAATAATGATAGTGAACATTTATAATGCGCCATGTCTGTCCAAAATGACACTCCTGGCGTTTGTAAAGTCTTTTTTTGTTTAACTCTCCCCTCCCCCTCTCTCTCTCTTACTTTCTCTCTCACCTTTTCTTTTTTTTATCATGAATGACGACGGCAATTCTATCTTTAACGTTCATTAAAATTTGTCAAGTTTTATTCCTACAATATTACCATCATTGAGTAATTATTTACAATACATTTTTAATGTTACAGATATACAGCCTAAATTATACATTTAAAAGTGACTAAAACGATTTAAATCTATCTCAAAATCCATTTGCATTCCATTCAGTTTAAAAACATTCGACTACAGAAGTATAAAAACGTACGTTACTTAAATATTTAAAAACCTTTGTAAAGGTTTATATCATGAAAAAATATGTATTTAAGAAAAAACATGAATGAATATATCAAATAAATCTCAAACTTTATAGGTTATATTGCATGATGAATCTTTTTTTGTTGTTATATATATTTTTGGAAAGAATAAAGTTTGATATTATCATTTTTAATATAACAGATAGCAGATTTTATCACTTTGCTCGGGTAACACTCAATCTCTTGAAATAAAAAAAAACCCTATAAAGTTCACAACTGTTTGAAATAAAATGTAAACATTGACTAATTTCTCAATCGAAATACACGATTATTGCATGAGATGTCTGATAATCAGAAACTAAAAGCGTGTAAAGTGATGTCTTGTCTGACTCAGTTGTAGAAATAATAAACTCAACAAAACAAACAAACAAACAAACACAATCGGTTCAATTAAAGTTTCATAGCGTTTTATTCGGGGAGACAATAAAACAATAGTTGGCCCCATATGATAACAGAGTGTGTTGCGTGATTTTAAGAGACCACCCAGGTGAAAAAAGATGTTTGTTATTTAACTGAAAGATCTGAAACCTTAACAAATAATAAA